CATAAAAATTACTGAGAATATTTAACGAAATACGTTTGGTTGGTTGAAATAAATTTGTGGGTATGTTATAACAATATGTTTTGTTGGGAGGAATAAATTGGTGGGTATATCATGTAAATTACTAAATTGCCCTCATTTTTTAAATATTAATATAATAATTTTTTTTAACCCCCTATATTTTAGATTTAGCTAAAACACCTCAGCAACAAAAAAAGTTAACTTAATGAAAACACCCCACCCACCCTAAGCCATTACCGATGACAGCGGTGACAGTGTAGATATGGCCGTGAAAGGCCCAATCTTTGGCCATGAAACAACCATCTTTTCATGGCCAAATATTTAGCCTTTCACGGCCACATCTTTGACTGTGAAACAGCCATAGATTTGACCGTGAAAGACTAGATTTAGCTGTTTTTTACCATGGATCTGACGGCCTTAGCGACGTACGTCCGGCCAAATCGGTCGGTTGTGCGCCATTCCGTCGTCACGGGCGGTGGTGGCCAGATCCAACCAGCACCCTTAGGTAATTTTTTTAAATTCTAGGGGCAATTATGTCCTAAAAACTTTGTATATAAGGATAAAATAGTCAATCAGTATTTTTGTAAACTGTTTTTAAATGAAAGGCATTATTGTCCAAAAAATTTATTAATAAGGGGTAAAATTGTAACAAAAATAAGATTACTAAGTAATCTTAAAATACGTAAGAAAATTGAGGCAATCAGATTACCTCTTATATTATCAATAGTAACTACTATGGGTGCGTTTGGATCGGGGGCATATAAGATGACAGGTAGGGCTACAAACAAACCAAACACGAACGAACACCCATTCGAAAATCGTTCGATAAGCATAATGGGTTGTTTGAAATCGTGTTCGGACTCGAACGAACACAAAATCACTGTTTGAAATCGTTTGATTAACAAAACGAGTTGTTCGAAAAATGTTTGATTAATCATTCGAATAATCAAACATTTTTCGAAACACCCTCCTCTCAGCCTTCTCGATTTAATCTAGATGTCACAGTGGTGCGTTGATCTCTTTCGGCCTCAGAAGTCTAGTGCAAAATGGCAAAAGTGAAAATGGGAGCTAAGCAAAATTGCAAAAGGGAAAAATAGGGCTGTCGCAATTTGCAAAAGGGAAAATGTGGATGTTGGAAATGCACAAGCAAAACACCCTTCTCTTGGCCTTCTCGATTTGATCTAGATGTTGTGACGCTGCGTTGATCTCTTTTGGCCTCTGGAGTCTGGTGCAAAACGGCAAAAGGGAAATTGGGGGTTGAGCAAAATTGCAAAAGAGAAAATTAGGGCTGTCACAATTTGCAAAACGGAAAATGTGGAATTGGGTTTTGGATTTTTGTTTTAAAATTTGGGCTGGCCGGGTTAGTTGGTTAGTGAGTTTTTATTATATATATATATAATTGTGTATATACAAAATCATTATCATAGATTAAATGTGTTTAATATGTTATTAAATTATCAAAATAATAGATTATCATGTACATATTATTATTACATAAATTATCATAAATATTTTAAATGTTTACATATATATTTTGTATCAACACCTATAAATTCGTAATGGAATGAGGGTCTATTATAATATATAATCAATACATATGTGTGATTAATTTGTTATATATATATGTATATAACTTAGGTTTAATTATACTATTATATTATTAAATTTGTCATGGCATATATCACTTAATTATACAATATGTTATGTTCATCAATTTGTCATATTATATTTATTATTTATTAATTGAAATATTATATCATAATATTTCATTATTGATTACGTTTGGAAAAATATGAAACAATTGTGTTATTAGATTTGCTATGTTATACTCCCTCTGTTTTTATATAAAAGTCGTTTTAAGGGTGTTTTATTTTTTCAAATTAAAAGTCGCTCCTTGTCTTGTCCTTTCACCACTTTTTGTCATGGCCCACATCTCCTCTGTCTCTCTTTATCTTATCTTATCTCTTCCCCTCTTCTCCTCTCTTCCATATTTTCTATCGTCCACTTCTTCTTTCTCTACTCTGCGTCTCTGCTTCCATCTTCTCTCTCTTTTTAGGAACAAAGTTCTAAGACAGGATCCCCAACTCGGACTTTACTGGAGGTCATTTCTTTGACTTTAAGGAGCCACGTTTGACAGAATCAAAGAGATGGAAATGAGCGAGGGACGACAGAATAAAAGAAATGGAACAGAGTAAAAGAAAAGAAAGAGATGAAGGAGCTGAATAAAATAAATGGAATAAGACAAATGTAAATTATTTAAGTATGCAGCAAGAAAGTTTTCCACCTGCAAAATCAGGGGAAAAAGTTGGGTGGGAGAGACAAATTTTTTTTTTTTATTAAAAATCGCGCCCAAACTTAAAACAACTTTTATGTAAAAAACGGAGGGAGTATATCACTTGATTATACAATCTATTGTGTTATTAAATTTGTCATGTTATATATCATAATAATTTATTATTTATTAATTGAAATGCTATATACTTATATATTTAACTATTGATGACATTTGAAAAAAAAAAAAAAAAACCATCCAAACATAATATATATATAAAAAAACAAAAGCATCGTAATATTTTATTATTGATTACCATTAAAAAAAATTCATTCAAACATAATATAAAAAACGAAAAAAACATAAATATAATATTAATGCAACTCTAACTAAGGACCTTAAAGTCAAAAGAATTGCATTTTTAACACTAAGCCATATAAAATCATTGATAAACTTAGCACATATTATAATATATATAATATATATATATATATATTATAATATTATATATATATATATATATATATATATATATAATATATTTTTTTTTTTGAACATAAACGAATGAATAAGCGAACAAGGTGTTCGCGGACGGATGGATTACTCGAACGAAGTTATGTTCGTGAACACAATCAAACGAACACCCTTTGTTCGATCTCAAATCGAACACCTTATCGAAGAATATCAAATTGTTCGTGAACCGTTTGTCATCAAGTCGAATCGAGCTATTATCAAATGAACATTAAGCTATTCGCAAACAGCTCGTTTCGCTTGCAGCCCTGAATTGACAGGGTAATCTTCGTTTATTTTGCAAGATTCTGATGTTTGGTTTGCAAGTAATAAAATATTACGAGAATCTTTTATTGAAAATAGTGTTTGCTATTGGTAATGTGGAGAGTAATCCGATATCCTCCTCTACCCCTAGGATTAAAAGATTACCGGGTAATCTAATTTTTATACTTATTTTACCCTTAATTAAATACCATTTCAGACACAATTGCCCTCAAATGTCTACCGAATAACAATTACCCAACCCCCCAACATTTGAGAAATTACTAAAACACCCTAGTTACAAAAAAGTTTAAAAGTTAACAAAATACCTCTAGCTACCAAAAACCACTGTCGGTCATCGGCATCAGTCACTGTAATGGTGCACAATCGATGGGATCTGGCCTGTCATGTGCCGAAAACAGCCAGATCTAACTGTTTCACGGTAAAAAACGTGGCTTTTTCACAGCCAGCTCTGTGGTTGTGAACTATGGCCATGAAATGGCTATAGACCTAGCCGTGAAACGATTATGGATTTGTGATTCATGACCGAAAATGGCTTTGCTGGCACACGACCGACCATATACGACCAGTCGTGCGGCATTCCGTCTACTGCCGGTGGCGGCCGACGATGGCTGGCTGCCAGTAGTGGCTTAGGGTGGGTAGGGATGATTTTGCTATAAATTAAAGTTTTATATGACTGTAGTGTTTTCACAAAATTTCAAATGTAGGGAGTTAAAAAAATGATTCAAAAAATAATACTATATTAATATTTAAAAATGATGATAATTTGGTAATCTATATAACATACTCATCCATTTATCCTCTTAAGGAAACATATTATTTACCCATTTATTTGAACAATAGGCGGTTTGATTTGAATTTTAAATAAATAAATAAAAAGAAAAGTCGAGAAAGAAGTATAATATCCCGACATCTCTTTACTTTAGTGTAATAAAATAAAGGGGCATACCTATGAAACGAACATATAAAAAAACAGAACACTTGTGTAATATTTTGATTGAACAAAAGATTTTATTTTTATGGCAGTCCACAAGTTCGTGGTCGAAAATAATAAAAATGGATTCCCTTAATCTATGATTCATGCATACATTTTGAGAATACAGAAAAAGAAAAATTGAGACTAAATGATTGATAATATCAAATATTGATATGGTTTTTATTAATAATAATTACATGTAAGATTTTGGAAAGTCAAATAGGGACATATGTAAATAAATAGTACTCTTTAAAATCCAAACCGATTCTATTTTGATTGTTTGTTGGATTTGCAAAGCAAAACCAATTTAAAACTAGTCAACTCCCATTATATAACTTTATAAATAAAATAAAATAAAAAAGCTTAGAGTCAACTAATCCAAGTGTTGGAATCAAATATTTAGCATGAAATTAATGCATTTTAGTTTAGCAATTTGAATCCATTTTATTATTTGCAATAACGTGACACTGAATTTTAGTTTTATTTAATACAATGTAAATCAATAGATTTAGACGAGATTAATGAAAGTTTTATTCAATTGAATGCAATTTCATTAAATTAGATTGCAATTTAGTTTTCTACAAAGTGGATTGCATTAGATTGAATTTTAATTTTGTATAGGTTGGACTGGATCGGATTTAATTGGATTAAAAATTCTAAAATTTGATACATATTTAGATCGGATTGAATTTAGCAAAAATGATTGGTTTCAATCTAATGAACACCCCTATAAATAATACCAGCGGTAAACGCTCGCTGTAAAAATCAGTGATGGTACAATACAAATCTTAAGACTAGTCCTAGACACGATAAGAACAGGAGGGTAGAAAGTGAGTAATAATGTTATAATAATTATTAAAAAAACAAAAAAAGAGAGGAAAAATTAGGATGTGTTTGGCTCCACAATTTGATATTAGTTTTTTAGCTTTGCCGCGATTTGCAATAGCCCAAAAACACCAAAGCCCGCTCTCAAATTTCCCATAAAAAATTTTGAACCCCCGCCCCTTTTCTCAACCCCGCTCTTACTTACCAAATCTCTGTCTGTGTCTTTATCTCTCTCACTCACTCTCTTAAAACACCTTACTTTTTGAATCATTTCACTTCCTTTCTTCTTCCCTGTACGATCTCTAGGGTTTTCTTTCTTCTTAATTACTTGAAACCCTAAGGTTTGGGTCTTGCTTGATTTTCAATTTTTCCATGGCCAGCGAAACCCTAGAAGAGAAGAATCAAGAAGAGGAGGCAGAGGCTCCTCCCGAAGTGGAAAGCAAAGACAAAGAGGACGGTCAAAAGGAAGTAGACGAGAAGAAAGAAGAAGAAATTCACGAACTTTCTGAGAAAAATGGGGCTCCTAAAGAAAGTGACAAGCCTGAAGAGAAAAAGGAGGAGCCTAAAGACAAGGAGGATGGACCCAAGAAGGGCAAGAGGTCAAGAAAGTCTAGTGTGAAGAAGCCGAGCGAGGAATCGTCCCAGTCCAAGAAACCGAGTCAAGAATTGGAAGAATCTAAGAAAGTTAAGGAACCAGAACCGGTGACTCCAGGTAGCGAGAGACCCACCAGGGAGAGGAAGGTCGTGGAGAGGTACTCTGCGCCGTCTTCTGGAAGGTCGGTAACCAAGCCGGTGTCCATTGAGAAGGTACGACCTCGTTCAAAGGGTCTGGTTTTTTATGATTAAGCTTGTTGTAAAATTTATGCTGTTCTGATTGTATGCGGATTTGTGTATTTTCCAGGGTCGTGGCACACAGCTTAAGGATATTCCAAACGGTATGGTTGAAATACTATTTTCATAAGACTCAGGTAGATTCTTATATTGGTTAGACTAGTTGTTCTGAGATACCAGGAAAGTGTTATACATTGGAAATTGAGGCCACTGGATGGCCATTACTTTATAAATGCTTTAAACTTTTCATGATCAAAAGGGACCTGCTGACCATACCTATCAGTATGATAGAAATTTGCTGTTTAAACACATGTTAAAAATTAAGAAGGAAATTCTTGATGCCTTGGAGTTTGATATTTCATATGAATACACGTTTGGCATTGTTTTAGTGTAATAAATGAATTAGTAAAACTGATGCCTCTGATATACATATTTTTTTGGGTATCTAGTCCCCTTATCTACCTTATTAATTGGTATTATGCTTATTCTTAATATTATTTAACAATTTTTTTTTTAATAATATAAAGAAAGAAAAAAAAAGCCTCTTGATTGTTGTTACGGCTTTGATTGATGGCCACTCTGTTGAATTGCTCTTAATTTCGCTTGTTCTGCAGAACAGTTGATTTTCTTAGTTCAATTTAATAATGGTAGTTCTTGATCAGAGGGAAATGGTTGTCTGAATGAGGTTGGGGCACTTTATGTTTGTGTTATATGGTGATAAGCTGTGTCACTATTCTGTTTTGGATCATAAGAGAAGAACTGGCCAGAGAACATAGGACTGGAAGTTGAAGATTGAAAACAACATCTCTGATATATAAAAACTTCGGTCTTTTGGTTCAGCTATTCATCATTAATGTATGACTGAAGTGGAGGATGCTGTTTCTTAGAAGTAAATGTTAAAATTTTGTAGTGATGCCATACTGCCTTCGTTCATCTTTTAGTAAGTTCATGGGGCCTTACAACTTAAGGATATTGTATGCATCATAGGTTACTGGGTTCAGTTTATATTTCTTTTGCATTGGAGCATTTTCAATTGGCATTTTTTAGATTTTTGTTTGAATCAATGTTCAAAAGGTTATAAATTGTTACTTCAGGATTTGGTCCCTATTGTCTACCTTTTGAGCTTCATGTGATATTAAGCATATATATGATTGTTCTGTAGAAGTATAGGATAATGTTTTCAGATTCTTTTGTCTTGCAGATGTTTGTTGGATGTTTTTATCAACTTCATTAAACTATTTGATTACAACAGATTGGCCCTTTTTTTTATCTCTGATATTATGAGACTGTTTCAGTGGCATTCAAGTTGTCCAGGAGAAAACCAGATGACAATCTACAGATGCTTCACACAGTACTCTTTGGGAAGAAAGCAAAGGTGACTGGATTTTATGCTCTTTCTGTACCTTTTTTGTTTGGCATCATTAAGTATGAATCTGTGGTGCACAAATGCTTTGTAACATTTTAATGTCTTATTTGCAGGCACACGCTCTAAAGAAGAATATAGGCCAGTTTTCAGGTTATGTCTGGGCTGAGAATGAGGTATCTCATGTTATGTATTGAATTTCTACTGTGTGTGTCTAAATAGAGTTTGTTCACATAATTTTCTTTAAAATCATGCATGTGTGCTTGAACATCCAAATAATTATAGAGAATTTCATCCCCTTATCCCAAAAAAGTCAAAAAAGAAAAAGAGATTCATCCATGAGAACAATAACATATTCATTTCAGGTAGAAACATGCTTAAAAGTCACTATGTGATGCAAGCTCTTTTAATATTACTTGGTTCTTTTACATGTTGCAGGAAAAACAAAAGGCAAAAGTGAAGGAGAAGCTTGACAAATGTGTTAAAGAAAAACTTGTGGACTTTTGTGATGTGCTCAATATTCCTATAAATAAGGCTATTGTGAAAAAGGTCATACTAACAAGATTGTTCTACTTTAAATGTGATTTATTTATTTGACCTAATAGACTGAGTTATGCTTTCAGGAAGAACTCTCTGTGAAGTTATTGGAATTCTTGGAATGTCCACATGCTACGACTGATGTCTTGCTTTCTGAGAAGGAACAGGTTCTACACTATCTTGTTGTTTTCACAAATAATTGGGCCTTAAGGTGATCTTTAGTTGCAAATTTCAATATTGATGAAATTCGTAATTCATCTTGATTTCAGAAAGGTAAAAAGCGAAAGAAAGTCACACCAAGCAAAAATGTTAGTCATTCTGAAGCATCTGATACATCAGCCAAGGTTGTTTTTTATTTGCATAAAAAGTTTTAGATTTACTTTCAATTTCTCTTTTCAGTTTTAATTGCTACAATTTGTGGTTATGGGTTTGCTGTAATACTGTTTAGTAGATCTGGTACAATGTGAAAATTTAACTACTTTGTCCTTTGGAAAAAAAAAAGATGGAAATTTTTACTGGTGTATGTGGTGGTTTATATATATGTTGCCTAATTATTCAAACCCAGAAACTTGTATATGTGATGACAATTTAACAGATCCCATTATTTAATTTCTCCAAGGTGTTTTTTTTTTTCCTGATTCTTCCTGCTTGTAGCTGATATATCTGAACATTTCATCAATGAAAGGATGGCTTGCTTTCATTTATTATCTGATTTTATAATTTATCAAAATCTTATATAATACATGTTATTGGTTGCTTACCATTTATTTGCAAAATGATGTGACTACATCTTTTTTTCTGCATTGCTCCTAAGCTACTGCATCAATGAGGTTGTATTAAAAACTTTTTGAATCATTTACTGGTGGCAGCCTTAAGTAAATAGTACTTGTTATGTGGTTTCTGAGATTCCTGATACTGTTTCACTTTCTAGGAATCTTTGTTTTCTGGAACTCAATGAACTATAACCAATGTAAATAGGCATTTATATATGCTTTATTGATTGCATCAGGGTGATATTAAGCAAGAATGTTCTCCTAAAAACTATATTATTAATTAGCCACACATTGTGTTGTTTTGTTGCCTCTTATTTTCTATTTTTGAGTTTGTGCTGTGGGGATTATATAATTTGCCTGATATATTGCAATAGATTTCAAATGCGTATTGAGTTATTGATTTATCATATCATTAAGAATCTTGTAATTATGTGTACCTTCATTTTGTGTTTCCAATCATCTGTTAGACTGGATAAGTGTTATTTTTTGGTTAGGTTTATCAGAGTTTATCCACTTTTACATGTTTCTGGCTCTTCAATGTAACTTTGTTCAGATATGCTAATTTTGCATGGTTCATCTTTTGGAATATGTATTTTCCTCTAAGGCACATGTTGAATGGTTATGGTATTGAGCCTTCCTTTTTGTCTGAACTTTTCTCTAAGTCACTTTTATTTTTTTTATATGTACGTTACTCTCGTATCAGGTTATTTGATTACATGCTTAAATTTGGGATGATGTCATCCTTTAGATTGGTGTAATCTTAATGGATTTAATATTCAGATTTGTCATCTACTTATTGCTCATAATTTCTTATAAAATTTGCTGTGTCATTAGAACTATTGGAATAACTAGAAACTGTTTGATTATGATAATTATCAAATTTAAAGAGAAAATTTGTCTTTTCAATCTTGGGATGGAAGAACGAATAATTACTGTTATAGTATTTGTTTTAATTGGTTCTTGTGGGTGATGAATGCTATTGATCTATTTTCCCAATGCTTGAGGGATTTTTCGTCATTATCAGCAAATCTCTCTTTTCTAAACCTAGAACATGCTGATCTTATCTATCTGTTTCCCAAGTTATAAAATCATTGTTTTTTCATGACTTTTTTCTGTTTGACAATTGGTTTCGTAATTTATTTGTTCTACTGCTCATTAGAAACGGAAGCAAACATTGCAACTGGGGGAAAAACGTAAGCTGTCGTCTAGGGCTGAGGAAGAAGATGAAGATGATGATAAAGTTGAATCACCAGACATTAAAGATGATTCTGAGGAAGACAATGACAATGATACAGCACCAAAAGAAGAAAGTGATCACAAGGAGAGTGAATCTGAGGAAGAGGGTGAACCAAAGGGAAAGAAGCCAAGCCAGAAGAGTTCATCAAAGAAGACTGTTAAGGATAGTTCTGGCTCTAAAAGCAAGGATAAATCCACACCTGCTAAGAAGGGTAGCTCTACAAAATCTGTGAAAAGTCCCATGAAATCCACAAAAAAATCTTCTCATTCAACTTCAAAGCAAGGTGCTACAGATTCTGACGAAATTTCTAGAGCAAAGGGATCTGCATCAAAAAAGCAGAAAGTGGAAAAAGAAAAGGATATAAGTGTTGCTGGCAAGGAAAAGGTTAAAGGAAAGAAGCAGTCAAGCAAGTCACCAGCAAAGGTCGCTGCCAAGGATCAAGGTGCATTGCTATCTGTTTATTATCTTTTTCTCTTAACTTTTAAAGTTTTTAGATTTGGTTTTGAACTTTGGTAGTTGACAAATGTCTGTGTTACATCTTGTACATGATCCTGCATATTGGTAATTACAAAGAAAAGAATTGTAATTACAATAGTTACTTGTCAATTTTTCTAATGGAATGAATTTTTTTGCTATTAAAGAAAACATCTGTACATATAAGTAGTTCCCTGTTCAAGGTCTTTCTTGGACTTAAATTAAGTATATTGTTAAATAATGAATGTAACAATAACAAGTGCTTAAGGAATGAGGGTTTATGAACATGTTACTTCATTTCTTGCATTTTGCTTTCGAAGGTCAAATTAAGTTTGGTATTAGAGTGGTTCAATTTTTGTTCAAAACAAGATCAATACTTTAATGGTGGTAACATATCTGTTGCAAATTAATGGTGGAATAATAGGTAAAGGAAAAACTAGCAAGAAGGCTAAAGCAGAACCCATGAGAGAAGAGATGCATGCTGTAGTTGTGGATATTCTGAAGCAAGTTGACTTCAATACTGTAAGTAAAAATGCCTATGTCCCAGTGTTTCTGAGATTTTGAATCAAAGTTATGTAAGCCAGTTTCTTAAGATTTCTTCATTGTAATGCAGGCAACATTATCTGATATTCTCCGCCATCTTGGTATGGTTTATTTTTTCTTTCCACTTGTGAATTACGATATTGTAGAATACTGAACTAATTGTATAATATATATTAGGTACCCACTTTGGTTTAGATCTTATGCATAGGAAAGCAGAGGTGAAGGATATTATAACCGATGTCATAAATAACATGACTGATGAGGAAGATGAAGGGGAGGAAGATGAGGAGAATGCAGCTGGTGGTGGTGAGGCTGACAAAGATGAAGATGGGGATGGGGATGATGATGCTTAATGAATTGTGATTGTTGTTGAACATGTCAGCCAAGTGTACTCACAATAGTCTCCAAGTAGAGGTTTCATCAACAGTTCCTGTGAATGATAAACTGGTGTTGCTGTCTGGATGTCATGGCCATTTCCAGATGAACCATTCAACTACCTTTGTTTGTACCATAAGCATTAGTAACTCTTAATTACTGCTGACCTGGCCCTTATTTATTAGGATTTTTTTTCCAGCTTCCTTTTTAGCATGTTTTTTATTAGATTATCTTTCAATTGTATTTGATAGCTAGTTTTACTTAATGAGTAGTGAATTGGTTTTCTTCATTTTAATTGAAGTGCAACTTTGTAATGTGGATTAGCCAGACGTTACTTCGCTAATGCTGCTGGTTTCCCTACACTGCAGGTTTCCAGCATTTATTCAAGTATATTTGAAAGTTTAGCGATGCTAAATTGGTCATCAGTACAGTGAAGTAAATTTACTAGTACTAATAAATTTGATGTTTGGTCATTGGTGAGTTTTAAGTTGTGAGATATCACAAGAACCTTTTTATAATCTAGGATTTAATTTATCAGCCTGTTGCTTATGAAGAAACGTTGATGATCCTCACTAGATGGTTGTTGCATCAGCATCTTGTGGTTCAATTTTCTTGTTTGATTGCTTTTCAAATCACAAATGTGTGTGGCTCAAGGATGAAATTGTTATTGGATACGTCCATGTTACGTGGTGTCATTTGGTAGGGTGAACCGAACAATCAATGTCTCCTGTTTTATTCTTAAGATTTATTTTTGCTATGGCTAGTTCTTTAGACATAATATGGTCTGCTATGCAAGGACAAATTTCTTAAACCCTTCACTACGTAAACTTTGATTTGATGGTGAAGTTGGAACTATGATGGTATTAATTTTGTTATTATAACCTTTTAAAATTCTTGTACTCAGTTTCTGAACCGTGAAACCCTCCCGGTTAAGAAATTTAAAATTTCCTTTCTTGCTATCTTCAAACTCGCAAGATAGTTTCGCTTCATTTGATGGAGTTCAGAAATATCCTCACGTTTGAGGAAATTATAAAGAGACCCACACCTTAAATCCAATTCATACTAAATGTTTCAAGAAGGGACGTTTAGCCCCCCTTATTTGTAAGGGAGGGACGTTAGTCACGTTACAGAATTTCAAATAGCTTAGGGGTAAATGTTTCGTTTGGCCTATTATTTGACTAAGGTGAAATACCAAAAACCAACAAGATTATTATTTGTCCAATGGCCGATGCTGGGCCATCCCCAATGAAACCAGGTGGCGGGAAATAAATTAGATGAATAATCAATACATATTCATGAAAAAAACCAGAAGAAATATAAGAAACACATTCAACAAAAATCTCGCACTTGTTTTTTATTGTAAACATTCATTGGGTTTGTGCTCCAACGACATGAGCAGCCACAGCTGCACAAGCGCCCTTTTGTTATTGTCCTCGTCGTTCAATCGTTAATCTCTTGATATGATCTTTGTAGATAAGATTTGAATTGAGTAACACTAGAATAAACCTGGTTAGGATATTTTAAGTAGATTTAAATTGTGCTGAGAATTTTTTTAATTAGGCAATATAACAGTGAAGATGTTATCTTGTGTATTTGGAAGATGAAGATGATTTGTTTTTTTAGGTATTTTCTTTTCTTGAATTGGCCATTAAAGTTATAACCAATGTAAATAGGCATTTATATATGCTTTATTGATTGCATCAGGGTGATATTAAGCAAGAATGTTCTCCTGAAAACTATATTATTATTTAGCCACACATTGTGTTGTTTTGTTGCCTCTTATTTTCTATTTTTGAGTTTGTGCTGTGGGGATTATATAATTTGCCTGATATATTGCAATAGATTTCAAATGCGTATTGAGTTATTGATTTATCATATCATTAAGAATCTTGTAATTATGTGTACCTTCATTTTGTGTTTCCAATCATCTGTTAGACTGGGTAAGTGTCATTTTTTGGTTAGGTTTATCAGAGTTTATCCACTTTTACATGTTTCTGGCTCTTCAATGTAACTTTGTTCAGATATGCTAATTTTGCATGGTTCATCTTTTGGAATATGTATTTTCCTCTAAGGCACATGTTGAATGGTTATGGTATTGAGCCTTCCTTTTTGTCTGAACTTTTCTCTAAGTCACTTTTATTTTTTTTATATGTACGTTACTCTCGTATCAGGTTATTTGATTACATGCTTAAATTTGGGATGATGTCATCCTTTAGATTGGTGTAATCTTAATGGATTTAATATTCAGATTTGTCATCTACTTATTGCTCATAATTTCTTATAAAATTTGCTGTGTCATTAGAACTATTGGAATAACTAGAAACTGTTTGATTATGATAATTATCAAATTTAAAGAGAAAATTTGTCTTTTCAATCTTGGGATGGAAGAACGAATAATTACTGTTATAGTATTTGTTTTAATTGGTTCTTGTGGGTGATGAATGCTATTGATCTATTTTCCCAATGCTTGAGGGATTTTTCGTCATTATCAGCAAATCTCTCTTTTCTAAACCTAGAACATGCTGATCTTATCTATCTGTTTCCCAAGTTATAAAATCATTGTTTTTTCATGACTTTTTTCTGTTTGACAATTGGTTTCGTAATTTATTTGTTCTACTGCTCATTAGAAACGGAAGCAAACATTGCAACTGGGGGAAAAACGTAAGCTGTCGTCTAGGGCTGAGGAAGAAGATGAAGATGATGATAAAGTTGAATCACCAGACATTAAAGATGATTCTGAGGAAGACAATGACAATGATACAGCACCAAAAGAAGAAAGTGATCACAAGGAGAGTGAATCTGAGGAAGAGGGTGAACCAAAGGGAAAGAAGCCAAGCCAGAAGAGTTCATCAAAGAAGACTGTTAAGGATAGTTCTGGCTCTAAAAGCAAGGATAAATCCACACCTGCTAAGAAGGGTAGCTCTACAAAATCTGTGAAAAGTCCCATGAAATCCACAAAAAAATCTTCTCATTCAACTTCAAAGCAAGGTGCTACAGATTCTGACGAAATTTCTAGAGCAAAGGGATCTGCATCAAAAAAGCAGAAAGTGGAAAAAGAAAAGGATATAAGTGTTGCTGGCAAGGAAAAGGTTAAAGGAAAAAAGCAGTCAAGCAAGTCACCAGCAAAGGTCGCTGCCAAGGATCAAGGTGCATTGCTATCTGTTTATTATCTTTTTCTCTTAACTTTTAAAGTTTTTAGATTTGGTTTTGAACTTTGGTAGTTGACAAATGTCTGTGTTACATCTTGTACATGATCCTGCATATTGGTAATTACAAAGAAAAGAATTGTAATTACAATAGTTACTTGTCAATTTTTCTAATGGAATGAATTTTTTTGCTATTAAAGAAAACATCTGTACATATAAGTAGTTCCCTGTTCAAGGTCTTTCTTGGACTTAAATTAAGTATATTGTTAAATAATGAATGTAACAATAACAAGTGCTTAAGGAATGAGGGTTTATGAACATGTTACTTCATTTCTTGCATTTTGCTTTCGAAGGTCAAATTAAGTTTGGTATTAGAGTGGTTCAATTTTTGTTCAAAACAAGATCAATACTTTAATGGTGGTAACATATCTGTTGCAAATTAATGGTGGAATAATAGGTAAAGGAAAAACTAGCAAGAAGGCTAAAGCAGAACCCATGAGAGAAGAGATGCATGCTGTAGTTGTGGATATTCTGAAGCAAGTTGACTTCAATACTGTAAGTAAAAATGCCTATGTCCCAGTGTTTCTGAGATTTTGAATCAAAGTTATGTAAGCCAGTTTCTTAAGATTTCTTCATTGTAATGCAGGCAACATTATCTGATATTCTCCGCCAACTTGGTATGGTTTATTTTTTCTTTCCACTTGTGAATTACGATATTGTAGAATACTGAACTAATTGTATAATATATATTAGGTACCCACTTTGGTTTAGATCTTATGCATAGGAAAGCAGAGGTGAAGGATATTATAACCGATGTCATAAATAACATGACTGATGAGGAAGATGAAGGGGAGGAAGATGAGGAGAATGCAGCTGGTGGTGGTGAGGCTGACAAAGATGAAGATGGGGATGGGGATGATGATGCTTAATGAATTGTGATTGTTGTTGAACATGTCAGCCAAGTGTACTCACAATAGTCTCCAAGTAGAGGTTTCATCAACAGTTCCTGTGAATGATAAACTGGTGTTGCTGTCTGGATGTCATGGCCATTTCCAGATGAACCATTCAACTACCTTTGTTTGTACCATAAGCATTAGTAACTCTTAATTACTGCTGACCTGGCCCTTATTTATTAGGATTTTTTTTCCAGCTTCCTTTTTAGCATGTTTTTTATTAGATTATCTTTCAATTGTATTTGATAGCTAGTTTTACTTAATGAGTAGTGAATTGGTTTTCTTCATTTTAATTGAAGTGCAACTTTGTAATGTGGATTAGCCAGACGTTACTTCGCTAATGCTGCTGGTTTCCCTACACTGCAGGTTTCCAGCATTTATTCAAGTATATTTGAAAGTTTAGCGATGCTAAATTGGTCATCAGTACAGTGAAGTAAATTTACTAGTACTAATAAATTTGATGTTTGGTCATTGGTGAGTTTTAAGTTGTGAGATATCACAAGAACCTTTTTATAATCTAGGATTTAATTTATCAGCCTGTTGCTTATGAAGAAACGTTGATGATCCTCACTAGATGGTTGTTGCATCAGCATCTTGTGGTTCAATTTTCTTGTTTGATTGCTTTTCAAATCACAAATGTGTGTGGCTCAAGGATGAAATTGTTATTGGATACGTCCATGTTACGTGGTGTCATTTGGTAGGGTGAACCGAACAATCAATGTCTCCTGTTTTATTCTTAAGATTTATTTTTGCTATGGCTAGTTCTTTAGACATAATATGGTCTGCTATGCAAGGACAAATTTCTTAAACCCTTCACTACGTAAACTTTGATTTGATGGTGAAGTTGGAACTATGATGGTATTAATTTTGTTATTATAACCTTTTAAAATTCTTGTACTCAGTTTCTGAACCGTGAAACCCTCCCGGTTAAGAAATTTAAAATTTCCTTTCTTGCTATCTTCAAACTCGCAAGATAGTTTCGCTTCATTTGATGGAGTTCAGAAATATCCTCACGTTTGAGGAAATTATAAAGAGACCCACACCTTAAATCCAATTCATACTAAATGTTTCAAGAAGGGACGTTTAGCCCCCCTTATTTGTAAGGGAGGGACGTTAGTCACGTTACAGAATTTCAAATAGCTTAGGGGTAAATGTTTCGTTTGGCCTATTATTTGACTAAGGTGAAATACCAAAAACCAACAAGATTATTATTTGTCCAATGGCCGATGCTGGGCCATCCCCAATGAAACCAGGTGGCGGGAAATAAATTAGATGAATAATCAATACATATTCATGAAAAAAACCAGAAGAAATATAAGAAACACATTCAACAAAAATCTCGCACTTGTTTTTTATTGTAAACATTCATTGGGTTTGTGCTCCAACGACATGAGCAGCCACAGCTGCACAAGCGCCCTTTTGTTATTGTCCTCGTCGTTCAATCGTTAATCTCTTGATATGATCTTTGTAGATAAGATTTGAATTGAGTAACACTAGAATAAACCTGGTTAGGATATTTTAAGTAGATTTAAATTGTGCTGAGAATTTTTTTAATTAGGCAATATAACAGTGAAGATGTTATCTTGTGTATTTGGAAGATGAAGATGATTTGTTTTTTTAGGTATTTTCTTTTCTTGAATTGGCCATTAAAGTTAGAAAAATGCTATTCTTACAAAGACCCATATAAAGAGGGTTACAAAGTGACATCAACAAGAAGAAAAAAACAAAGAAAAAACGGAGAGAGAGAGAGAGAGAGAGAAATCATGAAAATCAAGGGTGAAGATTGTCTTTGTATGCATCCTTTGTATGTGGCTTTGTAAAGCTAGCATTGTTCTTAAAGTTAAGGGTGTATGGTCACTTCCATTCAAATTGTTACGGTACAATTCTGAATCTTTTTATCCTGTGGTTTCAGTTTTTAACCCCTAATGGCCAATTGATGATGATTTCATTATAACGTTACTCATTGTTCAATAAATCTGAATAATTTGGTCATTCAACTTTCAGAATTTGTTCCTCTGCAAAGAATATTATTATATAAATGGTTGTTCACTTCATAGCCCAGTGACAGCCCTGAGACTATATGATTCTATAATAGTCAAACAAGAAAAAATGCAGTAAACCAACAGCAGCATATAATTTAATCCATAAAAGATGGTAAGGAAAAATTTTAAAAGTCAATAAAATTAGATGAAGTAACTAAATTCTGCACGCCAACCCCACCAACTAACCCCCAAGTCTCTCCTTTCTCTCACGCAAGACTCCGCTTGGCTGGTATAGTTTTGGTTCTGATGCAAGTAGCCTACCACAACCCATATGGCCTTTCACCTTTGCATAATCTGCAGAAAAGAACAATGTGTATAACAAAACTCGAAAATTTAAAAAAAAAAAAAATGTTGTTTCCTCTCAATCAACGAGGTTTCTCCAGTAAAACAACTTTACTTTTGAGCCAGCCCGTCTTTATCAGCTTGAGATATCTTGTTAACTAAGACAAATAATTCTCAATTATTTGGTCCGTCCATCTTTTCCTATATAACTTCAACCCCATTTCGAAAGAATACATTTTACAGCTTCACTTCTACTCTTTTCGTCTTAATTTCAGGTATGATTTTAGCTGTTCTTTTCACGCTTTCTGTATTTGGCTATCAGTTGTATAGATAATTGTTTGTTTAAAGGATTGCATTTACATAAATAGCATGATTAGAGACAATTTGCTTTCTTCTTATAATTTGTTTTTTTATTTCTGGCAGCTTTTGGGTTTTAAGGTGTGTGTCTTGTGATGGCGGATGCTAAAACTAGTACCTTTGAGCTTATTGTGAAGCAAGGGGAACCAACTCTGGTTCTTCCTGCTGAGGAGACAAAGAAAGGCCTGTATTTCCTTGCAAACCTTGATCAGAACATCGCGGTGATTGTTCGTACTCTTTACTGCTTTAAATCAGATTCAAGAGGAAATGACGATGCTGTGGAAGTCGTCAAGAATGCCCTGTCCAAATTACTCGTTTACTACTACCCACTTGCGGGGAAGTTAACTATTAGTGTAGAGGGGAAGCTGATAGTGGACTGCACAGGTGAAGGTGCTGTTTTTGTTGAAGCTGAAGCAAATTGTACTATTGAAGATATAGGAGACACGGCAAAGCCCGATCCTGGGACTCTTGGTAAGCTGGTCTATGAAACTCCTGGAGCTCAGAACATACTTCAGATGCCTCTCCTGGCGGTTCAGGTTTGATATTTTTATCTGATTATAATTTGCAATTGGAAAAAACCTGTCCATGCTTTCCTTAGTCTTATCTCAAAGTACGAAAGTTTTTACTGACTGGACATAAAAAGAAGTTAATAACCAATAGTCCTTTTCCATCCTAAAACATCTTCATTTTGTTCACATTCGGATTTATCAAATATCTTTATCTAATTATTCGGAATTGCAATTAGTATTATGCTTATCATGAAGCACAGTATGCTGTAATTTTGTCTTCCAGGTGACTCAGTTCAAGTGTGGAGGATTTATTATTGGGATGTCCATGAACCACTGTATGTTAGACGGGATCGGTGCTATGGATTTTGTGAATTCCTGGGGTGAAATTGCCAGAGGCTTGCCTCTAAAGGTGCCTCCATCTCTTGATAGAACCATACTGGAAGCCCGAAAACCACCAAAGATAGACTTTCCACACAACGAATTTGCTCAGATTGAAGATATATCAAATACCAGCAACCTGTACGGAGAAGAAATACGCTACTGTTCCTTCCTTTTTGACCCGGAAAAGCTTGAAAAACTCAAGAAAATAGCCATGGAAGATAGAAAGCTAAACAAATGCACAACATTTGAAGCTCTCTCAGCTTTTGTGTGGAGAGCTCGATGTCAGGCATTAAGCATGAAGCCTGATCAACAGACAAAACTCCTGTTTGCTGTCGATGGACGACCAAGATTTGTACCTCCATTACCCGAAGGTTTCGCGGGCAATGGGATTGTATTGACAAATGCGTTGTGTGCTGCAGGTGATCTTTTGAAAAATCCACCATCATATGCGGTTGGATTGGTTCAGAAGGCTGTTCAAATGGTTACTGACAGTTATATGAGATCGGCTATAGACTATTTTGAAATAACAAGAGCTAGGCCCTCTTTGGCTGCAACTCTTCTAATCACAACTTGGTCTAGACTTGCTTTCAACACTATAAACTTTGGATGGGGAGAACCCGTTTTTTCGGGTCCTGTGGCTTTGCCTGAGAAGGAAGTAATTCTGTTCCTATCTCATGGTAAAGACAGGAAAAGCATAAATGTGCTTTTGGGTTTGCCAGCTTCTGCCATGAAGATATTTGAGGAACTCCTGCAGATATGAAGTTAACCAAAGGATTGATTTGAAGAATAAATTACCATTAAATAAAGGGTTATCCGTTGCAAAAATAAAATAAAATTGTTCAGACTGAGTAAACTTCATGCCTATGGTATGAGTGGAAGGAAGAAGTATAACAATTCAGTCCCAAGAGTGAGATTGGATTATGCTGCTTTGAAACATACTGGCAGTTGAAGTACAAACTCATGTCTTCCGGATCTGTTTATCTTGCAAGTTTATGTATTAGTTTTACTGTCTCAAGTTCGATAGTTGTTTTGCGCTTGTAATTAATTGTGTTAGATTTGCTGATACATATTACCCCCAATCAGTTTCCTCCATGTTACACGTTTTACATATTTAACAAGACATGGAAATAGATGTTTTGTACGAGTTTTTCACTAAAAAGTTGCAATTTAATCGTTAAAGAGGGGGACAGATCCCTACACTCTGTAATTAAGCGGATATAGAAAATAAACCATAACCATCCGTGTCACTCATCTGGTATTAATAGGTGGGTGGTGCCACTAGTCCACATATTTATGATCTCTTTAAGCAAGAAAAGAACCAATTCAATGGGATAGTGGAAGAGAGACCAAATTTCAATGATTAATACTACTTTTATAGAGTTTATATACAAAATTTAGAGTAAATGACTCTTTCCCAACAAAAAAATTTCAAAATAATTGATTTTTGGCTGATTCTAGCGTTCAATATTCAATCGGTCACTATTATACTATTTGATCCACCGACCTCTATTCTACAAAACCCCTCTTACTTGGCTTCTGGTAACTCACCGAACGTCGACTGAGAAAGTGAAGTGTATTTTGGGTAGTAACGGAATATTAACTTTGGGTGGAAAAATGTTATTTTAAAACTTTTTAGATGGGAAAAAGTCATTTACTTCAAAATTTAATGTAAAAAGTGAGTAATTTTATATATAAACTTAATAAGAGTAGTACTATTTAAGCTGAACTTCATATAATTTAAAACTAAATCGATTGTTCAATCAATTAATTGGTGAGCCTTTTTTGATTCCATGATATTAGGCAAATAAAAATTCATGATCAATCAATCCCACAAAGTCATTTATTATGACGACGAATTAATAATTTCCATTGTAGCAACTTGGGCATCTTTTGTTGATTAGGGTAAATTAAGAGTTAACGACTTTTTCCCTACCCAAATAATGGTTTAATGACATTTTTCCACTTACAGACTTTTAAAATACCACTTTAATATCCAAATTTATATTTCGACAACGAACATAGAGCAAACTTGATCTAGGCTATTGGGGCTTTTGAAGAGGAAAGACCGATAAGTCTTTTGGTGGTGAAAGGTTGGATTTTGGTGGTTGGGATTGATCGGAATTTGACTTGGGAGAGGCGGCTGTGCAAACCTTAATTGCTCGATTGCCGGTGATTGGCAGGTTAATAGAAGTAGAGTTTGAGGGGTTTTGATTAGTAATGATCGGGAAAGATAATGATGGTGGTATGTGGTCGTAATGATGCCGAAATTAGAAATAGAATATAAATTTGGGTAATAAAGTGGTATTTTTAAAGTCTGTGGATGGAAAAGTGTCATTAAACCATTATTTGGATGGGAAAAAGTCGTTTACTCGTAAATCATAAATTAATTTAAATATTTCATTTAATTTTTTTAATAATAATTAATAGTCATCAATTCATTGTAATCAACGATTAAGAAAATTGTTGAAGTGACACAAATATAAACTTGCTCTTTTCTATGTAACACAAACCATTCTACGGTTTTATGTTTGATGGGCTTGAGCCTGTGGACCATTATATAGTTATATTTTTATGGGCTTAGGGCCATGGACTTTATCAACTCAAACTACAAGGTTATTCGGCCATATTTACACAGAAAAATACTTGAGCCCACACGTGACATTTAGCCCAAGAGAGTTTCTAAAGCGTGAAATACTGAAATATGTTGATATAAAAGATGTTCAGTACGTATCAAGTTTTAAGAAGCAATTAATCTTCTGACCCAAAAAAAAAAAAAAAAAAAAAAAAAAGAGGAAATTAATCACTATACAAATGTCAAGCTTTCAACAGCTCGGGAAAATTTTGTGAATAAATTCACTTTGTAAATTAAGCAAATTAGTTTTTATTCATTGGATAATCATTAACAGTGGGATTAGTTCATCAGATTAATCATAAATCAACTGACGGTTGGTTGAAGACAATGCACCATAGACTGATGGAATATGATTATTACAAAGTGCTGTGATCCATGCTTAATTGAAGGTTGAAACTATTATGGCTTGATTCATGACTTGACTGAAGGAATTACAGTTACTAATTTCATGTAATTACATTGATTATATTTGATTGTATTTCCATATTTTACACTTGTAAACTTGTATAAATTTGACACATTACAATATTGAAATATACAGAAAAGAAATATTTTTTCATCTTCTTCCTTTATGTTCTAGACACTTTGCCATCTTTTTCCTTAGCCTCTCATGCCTATCTCTCTTTGCCATATTCTGACATATATTATATAGATAGTTAGATGATTTAGTCAAAATTGAAGAAAGTAAGATCTGGTTCCTTGAGACACTAGCTCTCGTGTATATTCATATATATAGAGGATTACAAGATTTTGAATTACAACAGAAATATCAGCATGGATAAGTAAATCAATTTTAAATATTTGAATCACTAACTAAGTGCATAACAGAAAATCTAAATGAGCTAACAGAACACATCGTGATCAGCTTGGTAACTGGAAGAGGTCCTGAAGGTAAATATGGTGTAACAGCTTCCACAGCTTTCTTAGGATAAAGATCTCTAACATCCCCCTTCAAGGTTATGGGGAGGTCACGAAGCATCAGCTTGTCCCTAAGAAGTGGAAATCGAGATGAAGTCAGCCCCTTGGTAAAGATATCAGATGGCTGGGCAGCAGTGGAGATATATTTGGCTTGGATATCTTTATTAAAAATCTTCTCACGAATGAAGTGGTAATCCACCTCGATGTGTTTAGTACGAGCATGGAATACGAGATTAGAAGAGAGAGCTAAAGCACCAACATTATCCACCCACAAACAAGGTGGAGCCATGAGTGGTATGTGAAGTTCTTTCAACAGCATCCTAAGCCAGTAAAGTTCAGCCACAGTAAAAGTCATAGATCGGTATTCAGCTTCAGTGCTTGACCTTGCTACAACTGGTTGTTTCTTTGCTAACTAGGAAATGAGACAAGGACCAAGATATATGCAATAGCCAGAGGTGGACTTTCTGTCATCTGGAGAACCTGCCCAATCCGAGTCACAAAATCCATTGAGGTGAAGTGACCCTTTGCTGAATTTGAGTCCAACGTTTAAGGTACCCTTGATATACCGTAACACTCTTTTAGCAGCTGTTAAATGTTCAGTGGTTGGACAATGGAGAAATTGGCAAAGTTGATTAACATTGAATGAGAGATCGGGTCCGGTAAGTGTGAGGTATTGCAAGGCTCCCACTATAGTCCTGTATTCAGTAGGATTAGTGTGTGGATCCCCTGAAAATTTTGAGATTTTAGCTCCTGAGGTGCAAGGAGTAGGAGCTGGTTTAGCTCCAGCCATTCTTGTACGATGCAAGAGGTCAGTAGCATATTTGCCTTGGCTGAGATGGAGCCCGTCTAATGTATGTTGAACCTGAATGCCTAAAAAATAAGATAGAGAGCCAAGATATTTGATAGCAAAGTCAGCTCCAAGTAGAGTGATGAGGTGATCAATAGATGAAGGAGAGTTACTTGTAACTATGATATCATCAACATAAATGAGGACAAACATAGATATGTTGTTGTGGTGAAATGTAAAGAGGGATGTGTCCACATTTGAGCCACTAAATCCGAGAGCAAGTAGTGCTTGAGAAAGTCGCAAGAACCAAGCCCTAGGAGCTTGTTTGAGTCTGTAAATGGACTTGTGTAGTCTACACACATAATCAGATAAGTGAAGATCCTCAAGCCCTTTAGGCTGCTCCATATATACCTCTTCTTCAAGAAAGCCATGCAAAAATGCATTAGAAATATCAGGCTGTCTTATAGCCCAGTTATGGTGAACCGACACCAATCGAATAGTTGCTGGTTTAATAACAGGACTAAAGGTCTCAGTAAAGCCTACACCATCAATTTGATCAAACCCTTTGGCTACTAATCTAGCCTTATAGCGGTCAATGCTCCCATCTGATTTCTGTTTAAGCTTAAACACCCATTTATTCCTCACAACTTTCTTGTGGCAAGGTCGGGGACATAAAGTCCAAGTGTGATTGACAGCAAAGCATTGTATTCAGCTTGCATAGCATCAATCCAATACTGGTCCTTCATTGCTTCTTTGTAAGTATGAGGTTCAGTGGGTAAGGTAATGACAGAGAAGGTTTGTAGCGGATGTTTAGTGGAATAGTAGAGATGGTAATCTGGAAACAATTTGGGTTTGGAGGAATTTGTTTTGGATCGAGTAATGATTTGATGGGTTTGCATGGTAGGTATGGAATTTGTGGGAGATAAATTTGGTGCAACAGGAGGAGAGGATAAGTCACTAGGTGAGGTATCAAATGGTGAGCCTTAAATGGGTGCATCAGTTGAGGGAAATAAGTCTAAGGGAGAGGATACGGGTTCAGTAGATACTGATGTGGGGGAAATGCTCTAGCAAGGTTCTGGTGTAGGTAAAACAGGAGGTGCAGAATTTGTAAATAAAGGGAATTGAAAAAGATGGTGAGAGATGAGAGTGTGAACCTGATTGTGGTGATCTGCCAGAGTTGAGAAAATTGTCCTGCAAGGATGAGGAGGCTGGAGTTGGATCCTTTGTAGCAGCAACAAGAAAACTTAACTCATCAAATATGACATGTCTGGAAATATAGACTTTATTTGTTTTTAAATCCAGACACCGATAACCTTTCTGGTTTGAGCTATATCTAAGGAAGACACACTTGGTGCTTCTAAAAGCTAATTTGTGGGAATAATATGGTCTCAGCAAGGGATAACAGGTGCAACCAGAGGTCTTAAGGATGGAGTAATCTGGTGGTTTGCAAAACAAAGTAAAAAAGGGAGAGTGATTATTTAGAACAGGTGTGGGAAGTCGGTTTATAACATAGATGGCTGTAAGGAAAGCATCTACCCAGTAGCAAAAAGGAAGCTGAGACTGTGCTAAGAGTGAGAGACCTGTTTCAGTTACATGCCTGTGTTTTCTCTCTGAAATGCCATTTTGCTTAGATGTGTGGGGACAATTCAGCTTGTGTAGGATGCCGTTTGTAGAGAGAAAAGTTTGAAAGGCAGTGGATAAATATTCTCCACCATTATCAGTGAGAAGTTGTTTAATTTGCCGAGAGAATTGATTCTCAACAAGTTGTTTAAACTTGATAAAGCAAACAAACACATCAGATTTAGACTTTAAAGGAAACAACCATGTAAATCTTGAATAATCATCAATAAATAAGACATAGAATTTACATCCACTGACTGATGACACTGGAGATATCCATACATCCGAATGAATTAATTCAAGGGGATGGACATATATGTTATTGGACTCAGAGAAGGGAAGTTTGTGACTCTTAGCAACTTGACAGGACTCACACACTTTATTGTGCTTTACAGGACTAGAAATAGGAAGCATAGCCTCTCTAACAACTCTAGAAACAATAGGTTCAGAAGCATGAGCAAGTTTGGAATGCCAGATATGGATTGGAGCTCTAGCCCCTTGGACAGCAGTAAAGGAAGAAATGTGAGCAGCTTTTGGTACTGATTTATTGAGTTTCATCTGCTTGAGGTACAGAGGGTACAAGCCAACTTCACTCTGCCTTTGAAGAAGAATTTGCTTGGTCTGTAGATCCTTCACAAAGAAGTGAGAAGAAGTAAGCACAAAGTAACCGTTATTATCATGACAGAATTTTTGTATGGACAAAAGATTGGATGATGCTTTTGGGCAATGTAAGATATTATGTAAAAGAAATCTGTGTTTGGAATTAAGAAGCATAGAAGAACCAGTGTTGGTGATGAGCAAACCTCCTCCATTGCCTACTGTGACCTTGTCATTCCCTTGATATGGCTGTTGTTGCAATGTCAAATTCTCTAACTCAGAGGTGATGTGGTTGTTTGCACCATTGTCAAGGTACCAAGGTTGTTCATCCTCTTGTGTGACATGTGTATAGGTTGCCATAGCTGCTAATTGTGCTGGTAGGTGTCGACCTTGGTAGGTGAAATCCATTCTATGGTAGCAATCAAGCGCCTGATGGTTAGGCTTACCACAGATTTGACATGGTGGGAATTTAGTGGAGAAAAAAGGGCTGCCAGAGGGTTGTGGTTTTGAGGAAGGGTAGGCAGGTGTGGTAGTGGGATTAGGCTTAAGAGAAGAGGGAGGTTTGGCTTGCTGAGTGGGATATTTGGGTTTCTTGCCATGGTGAAATTTTGGTTTGTTGGTGAAGAAGGCAAACTGAGTGCCATCACTAGGAAGGGACTTGTTTTGAGAATCAAGGAGTTGCTCATAATTGAGCAATTCAGATTGGAAATCATCAAAAGAGATGGATTTGTCTCGGGTGGCAAAATTGAATGATATGACAAAAGGATTATAGATGGGGTTGAGACCTCCAACGACATAAGAGATTAAGTCTTTCTCATCCACAGATTTACTTGCTGCAGTAAGTTGATCAGACTAACTTTTTGCTAGAAATAGGTAGTTAGAGCAGGTTTTGTTCCCCTGTTGTAAGGTTTGAAGTTGTCTTTTGAGGTGTGAGATACGAGATCGAGATTGAGGAGCAAATCTATTGACCAATGTGTTCTAGACCATCTTGGATGTGGTAAGACCGTAAACTGGAGAAAGAATTTTCTCACTGAGAGTGGCGTTTAACCATGCCAAAATGAATTGATCTTTCTTCTGCCAAACCAAATATTGTGGATTGATATCAGAAGTAGATTTCTCAGTGGAATCACCAAGATATTGAGGAGGACATTCCTCTGAACCATCAACCATGCTTAGTAAGTCATGGCTTTTAAGCACAGGAATGAATTGGTTTGTCCAATTCAAGTAATTGGTTCCATCTAATTTGACAGAAACCAAAGACGTGATATTTGGGATAACAAATGAGGAAGCAGCGGAAGATATTGATGAGGCCATATGGGATCGAGTTGCGTGAGCAAAGAATTGCTCTGATACCAAGTCAGAATTGAAGAAAGTAAGATCTGGTTCCTTGATATACCAGCTCTCGTGTATATTCATATATATAAAGGATTACAAGATTTTGAATTACAACAGAAATATCAGCATAGATAAGTAAATCAATTTTAAATATTTGAATCACTAACTAAGTGCATAGCAGAAAATCTAAATGAGCTAATAGAACACATCATGATCAGCTAGGTAACCGGAAGAGATCCTGAAGGTAAATCTGGTGTAACAGCTTCCACAGCTTTCTTAGGATAAAGATCTCTAACAGACTTAACATCGTACATATAACACATCCCATTGACCTATGTAGCAGATATGTAGTTTAAAATCATACGTAATATTTGAAGTTTAATAGTAACATCAACTCCATTGCAGTTTCAAATTTTTGCATGGAGCTTCCTGTGATTAATTTCATGGTTGCCGTTGGGAAGAATCAAAAATCTTTTTCTTTGAATATAGTGGCCATCTTTTTCTTGTGGCTGCCTTGAAAAGGCAGATGTTTTTGTGTTTTGTTCAAAATCATATTAAATTTAAAAGATTAGATTTTGGTTATGTTTTTTTCGAATGTTATAATTTTGTTTTTTATTTAACAATATATAAAGATTTGAATTATTATTTTAAAAGAAATGGGAATTTTGTGTGTCCGGGTTAGAACTGATATAAATGGTTTATAGAAAACAAGTAAAAAAATTGTTCACGAAAGTTGGGAGGTTTATTAATTATGTATAGAATATAAAGAGTATTAAAAAAATTAAGTCAAGAATTTAAATTATAACATTCTGACTATGGTATAGATAGTAAATAGAAACATATCTTTCTTACAATTGTAATATCAAAGTTAACTTGTAAATGAACTCTGAGTAATTTATTATCAGATTGGAGAAAGAAAAAAGAAACTAAAATTTCCTTACTCTCTAGTTGTACAGTCAATATATATGAATGGTAGAAAGGGGTCTACAAAAATTGTTTCCTTATCAACAAAATTACGCAGGGTTTATGTGTAAGACATCTTTGTCAATTATATATTTAAGGAAGTGGAATATTAGAGATGGACTAGCTGGTTTACACATATACAAAGATATAACTTTAATGAAGTTAAAATCCATTGACCTTGAGCATTCTGGAGGGACTGAGAAGCCGATAAGCTCCATAACCTTTGTTAACGTTGAAGTTTGGTCGACGAGAGGGACTGAAAAGGAGAAATGGACTATAACCTTTACCACATCCGAAACCAGCAGGATCAATATTCTTATCTCCACCACTTTCCATCTCCGCTAACACTTTGTAGAACAAGTCCACATCACAGGGAAGCAAAATTGGACCTTGGCTATTAAATCCGTATTCCGACTCAGCGTCTTCTAGCAGAATCTTGAACAATGGATGGTTAGCGTACTGTGTCTTGATAACGAACCTTTGTTTCTCTGGTCCAACGTACACTGTGAAACAACCTTCTGGAGCAACTTGAGTACGCGTCTTTTCTTTTTCAGGTGACAATGAAGATGATGTTGTGGCGCAGTTCCAGGATTTGCTTTTTGCCAATGAATCGCAAGAACACTTGTCGTTGGACCTTCTTGCTCTTGGTGATAGACAGCGTTTCCAGGACTTCATAATCTGGCTTTTCTTACCTTTCACTTGCACACAGTCCATTTTTCTCAAGAAAAAGAAAAAAAAAAGGGGGGGCTATAGAAATGATTTGAATAAAATTTCCCCACCTGGAAATTCAATATGAGAAGAGAAAGAATTGAAGAAGGTACAGTATCTCACAAGAAAAGCTAGAGCTTCTTGAGATGCGTTGAAGTTGAAGCATATAATTATTTATTAAGATTGGGTGATATGATATTCTTGGAAGGAGATGCAACACCATTATATAGCCCCACACGGCCACACCCGTGAACAAAATCGTAATAATACTGAATTTGTCAACGCTGGATGCTTGCTGCTCCAGTTTTGAATATTTGATTATATAAACCAAGTCATATTATCACATCCAGACGCCCACTACTTCTTAATGTCTCCGTGTACTACTGGGCAAAAAAAAGACAAAATATAAATATATGTTTATTTATTTACAAATTATATGGATAAGATTAATACAAATTAAAGGGAAATATTTTTGTAATAATGGTAAAAATGTAAATTATCATGCTACAATATTTATATTTTCAACTTTACAAATTTCAGGCCTATCAATTTATGCTTAATAATATTGTGATAAAATCCTAAATATTCTGTCTTCACAAGGAATGGACCAAGTTCGAGTCTCTTTGATGGTAAAAGAGTAAGAGAAAGATCTAACATGGTCTTCCAAGTTTGATCCCCATGATAGTAAAAGAGTAAAAGAAGGATCTAATATAGTTTTTCAAGTTCGAGTCTGCACGACTACTAATAGGGAGTGACTATAGGAGCTCTTACCTAGCCGGTAGTTCCAAGGTCTTAGGGGATTAGTTGAGATACACACAAGCTGGCTCGAACACCCCGATCATAAAAAAATAAAAATAAATAATGTGTTTGTGGAGCACATGCTATATTTGGTGTGATTGGTGTCAAGTTTCCCAGAGAATTAATTATTTTGGTAAACCAATAAATAAATCTATATATTTAGTGTGATTGGTGTCAAGTTTCCCAGAGAATTAATTATTTTGGTAAACCAATAAATAAATCTATATATTTGGTGTGATTGGTGTCAAGTTTCCCAGAGGATTAATTATATTGGTAAACCATATACACATATTATACATTGAGAAGCACATGATGTTTCATGGATAAATAATCTTTTTATTTTTTGAATGTGGAGTCCTAACCAATTAACACGTTTACTGCACATAAGTTTCATATCACATTTCTTTCTTTATTTTAATTTCACTTGAAGAAGGAGAATATGAATCCTCTATAAATCATATTTTAAAGTAAATTGAAAAACATTAATAATTTAAAGCAAAGAAAAGGAGCCTAAAAGGTCAGAATTGTATTTACAAATGGCAATGCAAATATGCAATGCAGAGAGAATTTTTTTAAAACTTGTAATAATTATGTATAGATAAATAACTATAGAATATAGTGTTATGGCGTGGACATCATTTTTTTTATTTTTACCCCTCGATATGGTATATGATTAATTAATTAGTTTCATCATATATAATGAGGAGTATAATATTTTCTTGAAGGATAATACTACACTTACAACTTATCTACTTGGTGTCCAAATTTATAATCCTAAATTCTGTCACCAACCACTTGTGTATTTAATTTCAAATTAATTAGCATACCTAAATTTCTCGAGCAAGCCTTTTTCATTATATAAATGACAATGTAATAGTAGATCTTCGGTTATTAAATTAATAATGGTTATTAAATCTAAAGCAAATGCCAAAAAACAAATGAATTAATAGTACATCTTGGATTATTAAACCAGATATTAGCTGAAACTTCGTGCTCTTGCTTTCTGATATAGAAAATAAAATAAAGAGCAACGAGAACTACGATTTCGTTGGTCTAGAAATGGCTAGCCACTTGAGCCGTTAATAATACAGTAAAACCTTTTTATAGTGATACTCTATATAAGAATAAACTCTACATAGTCATAAAAAATTATATTCTCAACTTGGGATAGTTATAAATAAAAATAAACTTTACATTGTAATAAGTTATAATTTTTTTAATTCCTATATTAAGGAAATTTGTCTCCACATAGTAATAATTATGTGTATATTGCAAAAATATATATTATTTGTTACATTAAAGGTTTAAGATGAAATAAAATATTTATTTAAAATTGTTTGGGAGAATGATTTATGCTTTAAAGTTGTTATTACATCTTTTAACTTGCGAGTACATTACTCACTAGCGTGGACATGTTCTTGTTAAAGCGAAAATATTTATATCTTCTAGAGCTTCTTGACATGAAACATTTTGTATTTCCTTGCTATCCTCATGATTATTTCCTTTATTTTCTTGTATAATTGTAGCAATGATTTTTTCTTCAGTTAAAGTATACATGACTTGTTGCTCATTTGAATGATTGAGGAAGACATTAATATCCATTCGATTAATGTAGTGAAATTGTCAAATCTGATCACTCAATTCTACAATGACTCTTTGATTCTTCTCGTCCACTTTATTTATAACTTGCAATTCATCGACATTAGGGGTTCTAATTTTGTAGTGCTTAAAATAATTAGCAATTGTCTATGACTTCACATCAGTTTAACCATGTAGCAACTATATTTACAATTCCATCAATGACACTTATTTTTGCTAGTTCTAAGATACAATCTTCTATTCGTTTAAAAAGTAGACAATTGAAGCGCTAAACTGAAATCATAATATTATTAAAACATGAATTAAAATCTCAATATTGTACTACTAAAACATGAAATATAAAATAAAAAGTTTTTGTAACTACATTTCTATTAAATTATAACCTCTTTGTTGGATGATGGCTTGAAATGCTGTCGTATTTGCACTTAAGTGGAACGACGTCGCTTTGATCTAAATGATAGAAACAATCCTGAGCGTTGATGAAAAGAAGATCCAACGGCTGAAATTCAACCCTAATGTCAACCATATAAAAGCAAAATTATTTTGGCAGTTTATGCATTCGATTCATTTTTCGTTTTACAAGTCTCTCTCTTCTTCGTCAAACACCATAGTTGAGCTTTTAGGGTTTTCAGTTTGGGTTGAGTGTTTCCTGTAACTTGTTGGTTGAGTGACTGGTCAGATCATTCTGGGTGTATTATATACGCTGTATTTAGGGATTTGAAAGGTGTAATCTCTAGGGTTAGTTACGGGTTGAAGAAGGGAGTTTTGAGGGATTTGTGTTGCTGTGTGTGTAATCTGTAATCTTGACAGTATTAGTGCAGTGAGCTCATGTGATTCTCGAGTTCAACGTGGACGTAGCTTGCTCAACCATAGAGCAAGTGAACCACGGTAAATCTGTTGTTCTTGTGTGTGATTGGTGTGATTCTTGCTCTTGATCTGTTGCTATTTTTGGTTGATTCTTTCTGTGAGTGGTTATAACAGTGGTATCAGAGCCATCTCTTGGAAGATTAGGGTTTCTTGTTGAGAAATTAGGGTTTCGCAAAATTAGGGTTTCGTGAAATTAGGGTTTCAAAATTAGGGTTTCTGGAAATTGGGGTTTTTTCGAAACTTTGATCCCTTCTAGTCTCCAATAGGATCTAGGGGGTCAAATCTTGGTTAAGTTCAAAAGGTATATAGGCTGGAAACCAGTAACAGCCTTAAAAACTGCCTGGCAGTAATTGGCAAATTCTGGTGTAACAAAGCCACGTACCTTCGTAAGTGCTAAGTTCTAAGAGGTATATAGGTTGGAAACCAGTAACAGCCTTAAAAACTGCCTGGCAGTAATTGGCAAATTCTGGTGTAACAAAGCCACGTACCTTCTTAGATTCTTTGTTGTTTTCTTTATTTTTCATTATATTGTAATGAGTACCACTCGTATGGAGATCCCCCAATATAATGGGAAGATCGATTTTGGGAGTTGGAAGAAAAAAATGAAAGCATTGCTTTCCCACAACAAGGTTGCCATCGCACTAGAAGAGGACTCCGAAAAATGGCCAGAGGAGAAGTTGAAAAAGAAAGAGGAGATCAATGAGGAGGCATACAATGTGATAATCATGAATCTGTCTGATAGCGTCCTCCGGAAGGTAGATGGAATTGAATCACCGATTGAACTCTGGGGTAAACTCACTACCTTGTATGCTTTGCAATCTGCCCCCAACCTAGCCTTTCTAAAGGGGGCTTTATTCTCTTATAAAATGGATAGTGCTAAGAGTATAGATGAAAACTTAGATGAGTTTCTGAAAATGATTTTGGTTCTAAAAGGGACAGATCAAGCCTTAGGAGAAACTAGCCTAGCTATGATTCTATTGAATTCCCTGACTGAAGACTACCAAGTAGTCAAGAATGCCCTACAGTACTCTGGTACTGTACCAAATCTTGACCTAATAACAGCAGGACTTAGGGCTAGAGAATTAGAATTGAAAACTCAGAAACGAAATGGCACAAATCTGTTTGTTAAGAGTAGACCAGAACCTAGTCACACTGGCAAGGGAAATCAGAATAATCAGGGGGCTAGAAATAAGAAAAAATGGAAGGGCAGTAACAAGCATAGAGGAGAGTCCAGAAAATGTTTCTTTTGTAATAAAACTCGGCATATTAAAAAGAACTGTTTTGAGTGGATTAAAAAGCAAAAACAAGGGAATACTGAGAATAACCTAGCTACTATTAGAAACCTGGTAGAGGAGCCTGAAGTCCTTACTGTGTCAATGAATGACACTGGTGAAGAGTGGGTGCTGGACTCAGGCTGTTCTTTTCACATAAGCCCTAGGAGAGATTGGTTCCAAGATTTTGAAAATGTTGAAAATGAAACTGTTTACATGGGAAACAATAATGCTTGCAGAGTAAAAGGGGTAGGCACTGTGACTCTAAGGGTTAACACTGGAAAAGTGGTAAAACTAACTAGGGCCAGATACATACCAGAACTTAAAAGAAACTTGATATCCCTTGGCACCTTAGATGAATCAAGATGTTGTTACAAAGCAGAACATGGATGCTTGAACATATATAGGGATAACAACTTGATACTGATAGGAGAGAAGAGAAATGGCTTTTATATTCTTTGTGGAAATCATTCCCAAAACAGTTTTAACTCTGTGATTACTTCTACCAACTTGTCCAATACAGAAAAGTGGCATCTTAGATTAGGCCACATGAGTCAAAGGGGCATGGACATTCTGAAGAATAAAGGGCAGTTTGGTAAGGACAAGACCACTTCCCTCAAATTCTGTGAGAATTGTGTTCTAGGGAAACAGCATAGAAATAGTTTCACCAA